AGGCTAGTTACTTTTCAAAGCAAGAAATTAGGTTGACTTTAGATTATTTGTTTTTGATAAATCTATATCAGTTTTTTCTGATCACTTTCCTATCCTCTCAGTGATGGCAAATTGGTTTGCAATTGGTTATTCTATTATCTTTTGAGATAGGAACTAAGCTGATGGACATTAAGTTCTGGAGGTCTTATTTCTCCTTTTTGACGATAGATACTATGTTTGTCCTCTCTGTTCTTCTTGGACCATCTCATCTACATTCATTCTCTAAGGTGATTGTTAATAGTTCAGAGATTGCTTTGGCTCAGCTTTTAATTGATTCATTTCTCCAGGTTCTTCCAGCTTGAATAAATTTAACTGAATGAAGTGGTCTTTAATCTGTTATTTCACTCTTCACGTTTTTATCCCTATCCTCTTCAAACTTATTTTAAATATCTGCTCATAATTAAACTTTTGTTTTGAAAATTGAAGCAGAAAAAGCATTCTATATTTCTACCTTCTCTGCAGCTACCCTTATTTGCTCTCCTAACCTCATAAGTAGTGGATTAAAAATTTCTCTTGTCTCCTTTCTTCTTAAGTAGTCATAGGCCATTAGTTGTCTGGCAAGTAAAAAATTACTGTACTTCATTCATGTCATGTTAGTACTAGAGGAACTTGGCAGTTTTGACCCAGAGCCAAAGACCCTGTGAGCCTTCCTAGAACTGCTCAGTGAACTTAACTCCACTGTCAATGTTGTCAGTGACATTAGCGATGAAGCTGAAGTAACAGAATTTTACAGAGTGACTGTGGTGTCTGAATAATTAGAAATGTCAGGAAAATATTGGTTTCTGCCCAATTCAGAAAACAATGGATTTGTATCCTTGGTGGGAAAGGGGAACAGACCTGCTTATCTGGGGAGAACAACAGAGGCTGACTGGAGAACTTAGTATAAGAGTAATGATGTAGGAAAATCAGTCAGGGAAAGATTTCTTCTTGTGGCAGCAAGGGAATTACTGCATTGTATTCCCCAATTCCTGTATTTGTGTGACAGAGCTGAAGTTATCTGCAAAAGTGGAAGAAGTGGAAATTTTCCATTTGTGTAATAATAAGCATAAGAAAATTAGTGCCAGTTTTCATCCTCAAAGACATTACAAATATCAATATTTTATTTCTTTAAGATACTACTTGTTTTATTAGAAAAAATGTCTAGAGTTTAATTGCAATATTTTAATTTTCAGTACTGACACAAGCTAGTACATACACATTAGTGTATACTCTTGGGTAGTCTTTGCATATGTATATGTTTCACAGTCAAACCCCTTTCTATCAGTCATTATATACCTACCTTAAGATTAAATGCATCCACGTGCTCATCACTGAGAATGCCATACACTAAAATTTATAAATTAATAACAATAAAAACATGATAACAGTGCAGCTGTAAACATATCCTTTCAGGTGGGCAGGTAAGTGAGATTTTGGAATAAGCAGAGAAAAGTCAATATTACTGTAAATTGTTGACAGAGCTGGTCGAGCACTGCTTCACCTAAGGCTTCTTTGGAAAGTGCCAATCCATCATAACTTAAACCGTTTCAGCAAAAGGACTGCTTTTGCTAAATTTCCAATTTAAAAACATTACAATGATCCACATTACCTAACATTTGCAAAATCTTTTATTTTTTATTTGATTTTGCCAATCATTTTTAGCTGTGATTCCTAACAAGAGCCTCCCACAGTTATTCTCTCCGCACATTTGCACGTATAACTACAACCTGCAAATAACCGGCCGATTTCAATCACATCTAGAAGAGGGATAGAGATCTCAGAGACTACTGCAGTCCTAGAAGCTTTGTGAAAATTGACACCTAGAAAGAGGAAAAATCCCAGATTAGTACCTCCTAGAGGAGGTCGAAGGCAGAACTCAGCTATTTTATTTTATATTTTATTGGTAACATCCAGATATGTGTCTTGGACAACCAGCTAGGGAGCACATGCCTAACTGTGGACATGTGGTCAAGGAGAGGTGTCAGAAGGGTGAGGGATGCTGGGACTATTCAGATGGGACATCCCAGGAACAAAGGACACAAGCATAGAACAGGTTTTATGAAAGACGCTGCTCATGGACCAACAGGTTTACATTTTGCTTAGTTCAGCCATAAAGTTATACTGGCTGAGAGTTTGAAACAAACGAAAGCCAGTCCTTCCTTCATTCAGCAAGTAATGAAGTAATAAAGCTCCTGGTAGCAGGAGGCTGTGGTGGCCAAAAGTATGAGTGCATTTAGAAACGGATTAGAGAGATGAATACAGGTCCCTCAGGTCCCTCAATGCCTCTGAACATGATGTTGCAAATACAGCCTCTGTTTTTGGCAGGCCTTTTGGCTGAATGCAAAAATCTCAGAGGCTGAAATGGAAAAGAATTACTCTATATGTTTCTAACATCCTTTGCTTGAAAATCTATCCCTGCACTTTGTCAGGTCAGCTAGACAGAGGTAGAGCAACCCTTGGTTTGACCCAACGTGGCTACCATCGCATTGTTAAAGGGAGAAGAGAGAAGTTAGAGAGGAAAGATGTTCTCAAGTCTCAGCTAGACCCTAAATCAGTGTTTCCAATGTGAGGTCTGTAGATCAAGCATTCCTTTAGTCTTAGATCACAGCAGGGTACTTGGGAGAGTGGGGGGAAGAGAGAAAACTGAGGTAGAAAACAGCTTCTCTGCTCAGTAGGATCACTCTGCCCTCAGTGGAAGAGTCTTGATGAGATGAGGAGATGGGAGGATTGACACCAGCAATAGGAGCAGAAATCCTGTGCTACTACTCATCCCCTCAGCCTTCCTCATAAGAGAAGAAAACAAAGAGAGAGAGAAAGAAGAGGGGTGCCTAAAGCTGGAAGAGAAGGGGCAAAAATGAGGTCAGGAGCTGGCTCGGAAAGACAGGTGTTATGGACATATGGGATATGAACAAGTTTTAAGTGGTAAAGTCATCCATTAAAGGGACCTTTGTCAGAAATGTCTGGAAAAGAACCATCCAAAATCCATTGGTAGATGGAGAGAGGGTGAGCACAGACATCTGAGGGAGATCGTTGTGCTCTGCTGTACCCAAAAGAGAACGAAACACAGCTCCTATACCATTAAATTAAGCCATGCCAGGACATGGGCACTGGAAGTGGTGACCAGCCAGCCTGGTCCACACCCTGCAGGGTACTTACAGGCTTGCTTTAAGCACAATATAAAATTGCATCCAAGTCCCTGGATGCTGCAGCTTTACTCAGCCCAAGGAGCTAATTCTTTCTGCTTGATGGTCCAAAAGTGACAGTGTACAAGACAGCCGTGCCTTGAGAATTCGAACAGACTCCCCCTAAACTTACCAGGGAATTCAAGGTCCCTCCTGAACCAAGATACTGATTCATAAGAGAGCAACATTTCCACACAGGTTTTTTGCTAACTGCAAGACTTCTGTAATACTGTATGTTTATCTTTCACTGGGGACACTGATTTGCAGTAAAACAGGTAACATTCACAGAACTTGACAGTTTATGCTGTAATTTTCCCTGTCTAGAATGGCTGTCAGGAGTCTGCTTTGGGCAACATAAGCAGCTGTATGAATCCAAACAATTTAGATCAAAAGACAAACTCAACAGACTTTTTGCTCACTATTACACACTTTATTATTTGCAAATCTCCTGTTGTCATATTTCTGGGTTTTTTATGAGAAAATTACCTTTGTGCATGCTTTGCTGCATGCAATTCTTCTACTGCAGAGAGTGAAGGCACACAAAGAGAGGCAGGAGCATCTGCAATCTGCTTCTGCTTCTTTCTCTGCTCAGTAGTGTGTTTCCATACATCGTCCAGAATTTTGTCAGGGCTTGATCCAAAGTGCAGAGAACTTTCCACTTTCTCATCCAAACCCAAATGTGTGTTTTTAATTTTTGACCAAAATTTTTATTTGAAAGCCAAACCCTTTCGGCTGTGTTTTTTAATGTTAGGTTTTATATTTTCCCCAAAATTGAAATTCTCTAATGGGAAATAAAAGAATATATATGTGTATTCCTGGACTGTGACTGGGGTGAGTAAAATGAAAGTCTGAATTAAGCTTTAATTTATTAAAAAATCATACCCCTAAAATACTTCTCAGGATGGAATACAAAGTAAGAACCTGTCATGGAGCACTGATCACGTCTGGCTCTTTTCTGAGTGTCCTATCATGTGAGCTAAGGGAATTCCTTCTCCTGAGGAGGAGCTCTGGTTAGCTGAGAGAGAAAAAGAGAGACAGAGGGAGACATAGTAATGAAAAAACCCGTAAGTTTTCTAGACAATTGATGTGGACCAGTGATTTCACCAATACTGTACTCTCCATCATTACCACCAGCATGTCGACTTTCATATAGTGTGGAAACTTGTAGACTATCACCAAGAAGTTCCAATTTCACTTAGTAGGTAGAAAACCATCAAACAAATTATTCCGGTTATTTGTATTTAATGGCAGTATATTTTTTCCTTTGTCCAGCATGAAGAATCAAGGTGTCCCTTTCTTGGTCACACCTCCTCATTTCTCAAGTAATGCCTTTAATTTATACTCTCTGGAAGAAAATGTTGTTACTTGCATTTGTAAGTGTTTCAAACTGAATCCCTTAAACATTGAAAGATGTAGTAGGATGCCACAAGGAATTTCAAGAATGAACCCCAGACTTGAACTAAACTTAATGTTTTCCTTTGCCCTATATAGACAGTCCATTTGGGAAATAATTCAATGTCCATTAAAATCAATGAGTGTCTTTTAAAGGGTATTTCACAATTTCATTTCTGAGCATGGAGAGTCTCAGAATATCAGGCTGTTAATTTAAGCACCTGCATATGAATTCTGGTATCTAGTTTTAGACAGACACTTCACAATTTTCCATTTGTTTAACTACTGAAAAAATCATAACGAAGCTTAGCTGACAAAATTTTTTGCCTGCTGGAGGATGAAAACCCTGCAGGATGATGGGACCCCCTTTATATATGGACATGTATATGCTTTGTTTTCTCATTTCAGGTCATGGAACCAAAGGAGTGTTTGAACTTCTTTCAGGATGGCGTCGAACCAGAGAGAATCTGCCATTCAAGGACAGAGTAGCAGATGCCTACTCAGATGTCATGGTCTCCTATACAATGACAAGCTCCTTGTATTTCATAGCCTTCGGCATGGGTGCAAGCCCTTTCACCAACATTGAAGCTGTAAAAGTCTTTTGCCAGAACATGTGTGTCTCCATCCTGTTGAACTACTTCTATATCTTCTCTTTCTTTGGTTCCTGCCTGGTCTTTGCTGGCCAGTTGGAGCAGAACCGTTATCACAGCATCTTCTGCTGTAAAATTCCTTCAGCAGAATACCTGGACCGGAAACCTGTGTGGTTCCAGACCATGATGAACGATGGCCATCAGCATACTTCTCATCATGAGACCAACCCGTACCAGCATCACTTTATCCAGCATTTCCTCCGAGAGCATTACAATGAGTGGATTACCAATATCTATGTCAAGCCATTTGTGGTGATACTGTATCTCATCTATGCCTCTTTCTCCTTTATGGGGTGCTTACAGATTAATGATGGAGCCAACATTATCAACCTTCTTGCCAGTGAGTCTCCGAGTGTCTCCTACGCCCTCATACAGCAAAAGTATTTCAGCAACTACAGCCCAGTGATAGGTTTCTACATTTACGAACCTCTGGAGTACTGGAATGGCACTGTGCAAGAAGACCTAAAAACACTAAGCCAGGGGTTCAATACAGTGTCCTGGATTGAACAGTATTACCAGTACCTTCGAGCGGGTAACATCAGTGCAACCAACAAAAGTGACTTTATCAGCATCCTCCAGAGCTCCTTTTTAAAAAAGCCAGAATTCCAGCACTTCAAAAATGACATCATTTTCTCCAAAGCTGGAGATGAGAACAACATAATTGCTTCTCGTTTGTACCTGGTGGCCAGGACTAGTGAAAACACGCAGAGGGAAGCAGTAGAATTGTTGGAGAGGCTGAGGCCTCTCTCTCTTATACAGAGCATCAAGTTCATTGTGTTCAATCCTACCTTTGTTTTCATGGACCACTATGGTTTATCAGTAACTATGCCTGTCCTGATTTCTGGTTTTGGCATCCTGCTGGTGTTAATACTGACCTTTTTCCTGGTTATCCATCCTCTGGGAAATTTCTGGTTAATTCTCAGTGTCATCTCGATAGAGCTGGGTGTCCTTGGCTTGATGACCTTGTGGAATGTAGACATGGATTGCATTTCTATACTGTGCCTTATCTACACTTTGAATTTTGCCATAGATCACTGTGCACCCCTGCTTTATACATTTGTACTAGCTACTGAGCACACCCGAACTCAGTGTATAAAGAACTCCCTCCAAGAGCATGGGACAGCCATTTTGCAGAACGTTTCTTCTTTCCTTATTGGGTTGGTCCCCCTTCTCTTTGTGCCTTCAAATTTGACCTTCACACTGTTCAAATGCTTGCTGCTTGCCGGCAGTTGCACACTTCTGCACTGTTTTGTTATTTTGCCCGTCTTTCTAACCTTTTTCCCACCTTCCAAAAAGCACCACAAGAAAAAGAAACGGGCCAAAAGGAAGGAACGAGAAGAGATCGAATGCATAGAGATTCAGGAGAATCCTGATCATGTTACAGCAGTCTGAAAGGCTTAAAATAATAATAGTATATTCTCTTTTTAAAAAAGCATTGCACAGAGATGCAGGGAAAATAGAGCAAAGATCTCAGCTGCTTGTGCTGGCCAGGTCTGACAAGGCAAAGGAAGATCAAGAAGGGGTATTCATGACACACCAAGGTGCAAATTTTTTTTAACAAAAATAATGAAAGTAAAAATAATCTCAATTGTTTCCTTTGAATCCTCATTCTCCACCAGGGAAGAGTCTGTTGGCCATTAAGTGTTCCTGAATCTCAACCTGTAGCTCTAATGGGAATTGCTTGATCTGTCGTATGTAGGACTGAAGCAAAGGCGAAAAAAAGTTACCATTAAGTAAACAGTAGGGAAAAAGGCAGATTTCTTTGATAAAATTGTCCACAGAAAAGAAAAAAACAACATTTCAAATGAGAAAAGGGAACAAGACCAAGAGAGATGAAAAATGCCATGGTACTTTTTTCTTATTTTCTTGAGCAAGTTGGTTAAGATAAAACCTATGCACTTGGGAAGTAGATGTTTAAAACGATCTAAGCCAAAGTACTTCCTAATTCTAGTATACCATGTATATCTGTAACACCACAACTAGAGTGTTATTGTGAATATGGATGGCAAAGCTATACTGTTAAAGGATAAAGGTACTGTTTATATGGGGGATCAAATAATCATAGCCATTTGGAAATTTAACATTTGGTTTCTTTAAATGTGATGCATGACCTTTATCCCAAGAGGTCACAGCTGGTAGTTAATACCATACATACATTTGGATATTTCTGAATTGTGAAATTCCCCTTGAACTAACAGATCTCACGAAACTAACCCAGGCCTTTACCACTGCAGCAGTATTTGCAGTTCCTGCAGTGTAACACTTTGGAATTCTAATTTCTCAGTGTTGACATTAAATACTGAACATTAATCAAGCAGGCGCTTTAAACGTAATGATGGATAGCATGTCACTGGCATAATGTGATCATGTAACAGCTGAGTCAGCTCTGGAGCACCCGCACAGTATTATCATTATATATTTGGTCCAATGGACAAAGGGATATGTTTGCTGGTCCCAGCAATATGCTGCAGGAAGCGGGATTTTCCCCTTCTTCAAGCAAAACGTCAGTCAAATACTTGCCACACACACAAAAAAGACATTGTTAAGGTTTGCACGGGGCTGAATCAACCCCTAGTTGTAAAAAGGTAGATCAGTTCCCTGTGGGAAGGGCAGGGGAGGGTGAAATGTCTTTATTATTATTACTCCTAAATATTTGGGTGTTGATAGTCTGCAGCATAAAGCTTTGTTATGGCACTTGAAATTTCACAGGAGAGTGCAGTAAATCTGCAGTTACTATGTGACACTAGAAATCATACTGTAAAGAACTATGAATGACTTTCTCTGCTTTGTAAACTATACAGCTTAGTAGCCCAAGAGAAGGGATGAAAACAGATCTAGCTGTTTCAGTTTGCTCTTGGCCCAGTTCTGCACTGGAGCTTGCAGTGTCCATCTCCCCTTTCAGTATTTTAAAAGGGCTTGCTTTCTACTCTCTGGAGTATGGTATAGCACCACCCACGTGAGCAATGTCTTCCTGAATATGTAGTATCCATAAGGACACTATGTAAAGATATCACTGTATGGATTGTTTATGCCTACTTTGTATTACTTGTGGGTACCTTTAAAAGATGTCTGGAAGCTGTTTGCCTTCCGAAATGTGTATACACGTCTATTCGTGGCAGGTTAACTCAGTCTCAAACCTGCAGAGTTTGCTAATGAGTGTGTGTACATATGTTTCACTAAAAAGCTCTCTGCAAGAAGTTGATTCTTTGTTCTGTGACATCTCTTACCTCTTCCTACTGTTTCATTGTTAGGGAGAGCCAGAGAAAATTCACCTGCAGCACAAAAAGCTATTTGAACACCAGTTCTAATGTTCATTAGCTGCTTCTGTTTCCAAGGGATGCAGTTCCTCCCCTTCTCTATACTTTCTGTACTTTGCCATTACCACTTGCCAAAAATGACCTCTGTGTTTTAGGAGTGGTCAAAGCTCTTGATTGTTCAAGAGACCTTTTGTGTGCAACAGGTTTTAGAGAAAGATAAACTTTCTAGACAGGTAAAGCTTCCAAAGTTGGAATCCAGCTCTAAACTTCACGTGTCGCTAGATCAAGGTTACCGTTTGATCCAAGATATTCAAGGACCAGCTGCAAAACTGAGGTCTAAATAGTTTAGTAAGATTTAGGAGTAGGGGATGTTTTAATGTTGGGTTATGGCTCAGATGCATCACTAGTTGGGAAGTATTTACTGACCTTGATTTGCATCTTGAAGACATTGTGCAATATCCATCCTTTTTAGAACAGTCGGTTATGAATGTCAAGCTTTCCATACCTTCTTACATTTCCTCCACTGTCCATACAAAACCTGGATTGTTGCAGCAAAACTGTGACCCTTGGGTATCACTTCTGGAGGCGTCACATGGGAAGTTGCTGGTCTTCTCTTGTACTGCCGATGTATCCCAGGGATCTCTGTCATGCATCGTATTGAAGAAAGTAACGTTTTCCAAAGCCATCAAAGCCAGGATTCATCTCATCTAACTTTGGACATTGACAATGTAGATATTTATATCTGTCCCTTTATGGCCATAGGAGAGGGACAGACACTTCTGACCCATTTTACAGCTGTGTATTAGGAGTAAATTAATCAAACCTTTAAAAATGCATATTTCTGTCCATTGGTGATAAAGGAAGCTCAACGTGATTAGTTCAGACACAGACATTGGCAATGCAGACTCATCCAGATTTCATGAGATTAACCCCACTTAAAATGACCAAGTATCAAGTGAAAGAGAAAAGAAGAAATCTTTAGAAACTTGCTTCCCAAGCATCTATTTTAGGGATAAATCCCAGAGTAACTCAGTTTAAATTTTATGTTTGGCTTATGAGGCTTTTATGCAGAACAGATCATTTAAAAATTGCCACTGGAAGTCCCCTAGCAGAGAATAGTTAGCTAAGAAATCAGAAGTTGTCAATATTGAAGGTGGGCTCACACAAATGAGCTAGAGTTTGATGACATGTCAAACCAGCTTCTCTCTCAATATCATGCATGCGCAGTAGCACTTGTATATACCAGACACGAGATATGTGGACTACACTCTGGGACTAGAGGTTTTTTATTTCTACATCAATGTGGGAGTGGAGCAGAAAACAAACCAGATTTTCCATGGATGTAATTTTATTATTTTATTAATCAACCATTTTCCAGATCCACCAGGAAAGGCTGTTGCAGCTGTTTTTCCTGCAGATACATAGGTCTCTGTGGAACAAGGGAAACTCTCATCTCAAGCTAAAAAAAAAGATTATTTTCTTCTATAATTCAGTTCATACTGGAATCATTTGGGGACGGGGAGTCCATATTTTTTAATTTGTTCTCCTTTTTTAGCTTATTTTGCTTTCAGTCCTTTTCAATAAATTCTACCCTTTGCCACAGCACCTGTTCAGCTCAGCTGGAGCTACATAAGTACCTGTGAAGAAAGGACATAGCTCATGCAAAGCAATTTGACACTTTGATACATGCTGCATATTGGATCTTCATTATACACTTTTTTTTCCAGTTACCATAAGTCTGCTGGTATATTGCCTATATTCCTTTAATGTCTGGTTTTATATATGGCCTACATAAGCTGCCAAGAACCCTGTGTGCATTTCCTATTTGGTTTGGTTTCATTCCCTCAAAGTATATTGTTTTGAATTCATTGTTGAGATAACTCTGTTGAAGCCAACAGATTTATTGCCATGATATATCTGTCTTTGCATGCTTTCTATCTGGTAAGAAGTGAAATCATGACAAATGAACCTTTTACATTGTTGATACGCTTGTTGAACAATATATCTGTCTATACTCTATAGCCATTGTTGCATGTTGCATTCAGAAGGCTGCAGTGAAGGTATATTTTCTTTCTGTAATTTTTTCTTTACACTTTCCCATGCAGGCTATTTTAACCTTAATTAATCTATTCCTCTGTCTTTTTTATTAGAGTTAAGTCTTCACCTCTGTAGTCCAGTACTTGATGTTTCCTAAATTTATTGCCTAACAAAGCAACGTACTTTTTATGGCCAAGATAGGTATGGATGCATGGCACCTTGCATATATAATTTACAGAGATTGTCTTCAGGGTTATCATTCTCAACCTTTTACTTCCAACAATTCCTATTTAGGGTGTAACCTGCCACATGCGAATATCTATTCGAGTTCACTTGAACAACTCTAGTTTTGAAATTTTCTCCAGTGGGAAAGAAAAGAACCGGGGGGAAGGAAGAAATACGAAGTAAAGTAGTTGTGTGATGAGTGTTCTTTTTTCCAAAAGGCTCTCACTGCTCTACTCTTAATTAAGTCACACTGAGTAGTGACTCTAGCATAATTAAGATTTATTTCAATGGAGTTATTCCATATTTCACTATGACAAGAGCTTGGTTTATTGTCTTTATGCAAGTATCATGCTAAGTCTCTTTGATTAATTTTTCTGTAATTATAAACTTTAATAAGTTCTTTTTCATTGCAACACTAGGTTTTTGAGTACTTCAAGCTCTCATTTGATGTCCTAGGAAACACTGAAAGGAAGCAAAGTTAGGCAGTTAGTGAGCAAGAGACGTTGGAGTGTTGGAGAGAAGGGATACTTCACAAAGAGGCAGTGTATCCTCCAACAAAGCTTTAAATAAAAAATTATGTTAAGGTTATCTCAGAAGATTAAGGTGAAGTAGAAACCAAGTGAAACATGTTGTTTGGAGAGTAATGTAATCAAATTATAGACAGTCAAAACTTTGATTCTTCTTCCATACCATCTTACACAAGCAAGAAAGCATTTGAACAGGGAAGGAAACTGAATAGGGAAAGCAGCTCATCCACCACCTAAAATGTTTCTTTTCACCATAGTCTTGCAGAAAGCAACATCACAGACCAAGTGAGTGCAGATTCTCCCACCTCAGCATGGGCCTCTCCATGACCTGTTTTCCATGTACAGC